GCCACGGGCTGGCCGGGGCTCCTGTGGCCACTTTGGGGACAATTCTGCAAAACAGCCCTGTGCTCCAGCCACAGGTGGTGGGGGCAAGCAGGGACATCCTCTGCAGCTAATTCTGTATCCCTCCAGCCTGCCCCCAGCACTCCCAAACACACCCTCCTCCCCACGGACTGCTCCAAGAAATATTGCTTTTCCCTGAAATGTTTTTGTCTAAAATTCCCCTGATGGGATTAAGAAAAAAGAGAAAGAGAAACTGGGTAAAAAATAACTACCCCCAGGTAACACTGAAAGGCTGGGGTTAGCTCCACGGCCAGGCCACCCTGTCTGGGACAGGGGACACCCTGGTGATAGGGGTGGGGACACTGGGACAGCCAAAGGGGCCTTTCTTTGTGTAGCAGGGGAGGGGGACACTGAGTAGGGGTATGGGGGCTGTTTCCTCCTGGCAGTGGGAAGGATGCACCTTGCAGGGACAGCTTGGGACAGGATGGGGTACAACTGGATGGGATGGGACAGGGAACCAAGGCGGTGGGTAGAAAAGGGATGGTCCCCTGCCCCTTACTGGGACTGCAGGGAGAAGGCCAGCTTGACACAGGCAAGTTCCTCCCCACCATTGCTGACAGCTGCCCGGACACGGTAGTTGCCATTGGTCATCCAGGAAGGCAGCTCCACGTCAGGCAGGACAAAGTCGCTGGCCGGCAGGGAGTAGGAGCCCTGCAGAGAGAGGGGACATGTAGACAAGACGCCAGCTGAACTCCCCAGTGCCCCGCCGAAGGGCACGGTGGTACCCAACAGTGCTACCGGCATCGCACCGGCCGGGGGTGTCAGGCATACCGCTTTGAAGGGGCAGTGGCAAGGGATGCCGTAGGTCAGCAGGGGCTCTGGGCAGGTCGTGCCGGGCGGGATGAGGTTGTCAAGGATGGTGCAGACATCATTGTAGGTGCAGCTGCCCAGCTGGTCGATGCAGGGCAGCTGGATCCAGAGGTCGCCCAGTGCCTTCTCCACCACCAGCACCGCCTGGAAGGAAGGTGTTCAGCACTGGTACAGCCCACACGGGCACCCACAGCTCCTCCAGCCTGTCCCATTCTCCCCCCACAAGCCATCTCCCTCAGCTCCCACTCGTGCAATTCTTTGGCGTGTCCACCCATGGGGCCACCACACACACTCCCGCCTCCCCCCTCCTGCTTTTGGTTCCTCTCTGCCTTCAGGTTTCTCTTCCTCCAACCTCAGCTTCACCCCTTGAGCAAACGCCTCCCAGCACCCCACACACCTGCCCCTTCCCCTCTCCTAGGTGCCCTGTCCCAAAACCGCCCAGCAGCTCCCGTCCCACAGCTCTGCCTTCACGCTCCCCTGGCACACTCCCTGCAGCCCCAGCCCCAAACAGGCACCATGGCATTGCTCAAGACAGCCCATGCACCTTGGGCAGAGAGACGTGTTCAGTCTCATTCCAAAAAGTCCCCAAAAGGCAGTGCAGGGCAGCCGGGCCAGCCCCCGCAGCAGTGCCACAGCACATCCCTGGAGGGAGCAGCGGGGTCTGGCTGCTGAAAAACAAGTGCTGCAGTGACCGCCGGGAGCACCCGGGGCACCTGGGGTTTCGTTTCCCTCCCTGAGTCATTACATCCCCAGGACACAACACAGCTCAGGTGGTTTCTCCCATTGGGACAAGGTTGGGAGCTTCCCACCAGGCTGCCCGCTCCCACCGCGGGTCTCCCCAGGCCCATTGCCCTATTTTGGCTTACGGAGCCCGGTGCACTCAGCTGCACCGCTCCGTGCCTCATTCCCCCAGGGGCTGCTCATTCCCATACCCACTGCTGGGCATTTCCCAGCTGCCGGTGGTTTCAGGAAGCTCTGCCCTCCCTCATCCCATGAAAGCATCTCCAGCACGTACCTTCAGAGGGGAGGCCATGGCCTTGCTGCTGCTGACGGCCGCACTGATGCGCAGGCTCCCCGGGATGGCGATGGGATCGGGCGCCACAGAGAGGCTCTGCAGCACCACGGGGTCCCTCCCGTCACCGCAGTTCTCCCAGGCAAAGCCACCAACCTGTGGCACCGAGGGACAGGAGGAGTTAAAGCCAGGGCGAGCCTTGCCCTGGGTTTGCAGGAGGTTTCCCCAGTGCTGGACCCCCAAATCCCCTCACACACACACCTGCTCACAAAAACAGCCAGAAAATGACCTTCAGCCCCACCTCAAACGCCAAATAAATATTTCCCTCTGCATTTCTTGCACTCTCAATTCTCCAAGCCTGAAGGCGTTGCAGAAACTCTCCATCGGGCAGCAATTGCCACAACCCCCTTTCAGGTCCTTCTCACCCAAAGCGGGTTCCCAGACTGCGATTTCCAAACAGGTCTCGGCTCAGCCTCCAAACACTTTGCATGCAAACAAGGCGAGAAGCATCCTTCATGCCAGCGCCAACAACACCAAGCGAGGTTTTTGACAGCAAAGGCAAGAGAACAAGCAGGGACCGGGGCAGGGTGGCTGTGCTGGTCGGGGGGATGCTGTGCCCTGGGAAGGGGCTGCGGGGCCAGGCTGCACAGCCTCCTGGCTCAGCCAGGACCAGCCTGGCTGTTGCGAGCCCTCATCTGCCGGCTCTGGCCACCTGGTCCCATGCAGGAGTGGGAATCACACTCATGCATCGCATTATAAACATGGCTTAACATTTCCATCTCCACTCATGCTCAGGGGGCAGATGAGCCGCACTCATCTCCTGCCTGATACACCCCAGGGGCCTGATCCTGAGCTGGTTCAGTCCAAATGAGCCAGGGAAGCAGCACTATCCCATGAGATAATGAAAATCCACACAGACAGGACATCACCTCAACAGGGAGACATCACTTCTGTCCCAGCTGGGCCAGGAGCCATGCTGGGAGATTTCCTCCGTTTCTTCCAAGCCCCACCAGCCTCCCCGGCCACTGCCAGCAAAGCCACGGGCTGGCAAACGGCACCACAGCCCTGTGCTCCCATAACCCAAGTTCAAAGGCGGGAGGCATGGCAGCAGTCACCTGCAACAGCCACCCCAGAGCCTGCTGCGAACTGGTGGCAAGAACCCAGCCCCAGCTCCCTCCCCGAGCAGGCTCCAGCCTAATTGCAGGTCTTTTCCCGGCAGGGAGGCGGGAGGACACCTGGGCTGCGCACTCCCAGCAGGTTTAGCCGGGGCAGCCCGTGTCCCTGCGCCGTGGGGCTCTCCCTGCCTGCTCAGCAGCCGCAGAACCGGTGGAGGCTGTACTACCTGGTGCCCCAGCGGGCACCCAGCGGCCCGTCCCGCCATCCCGCTTGCCTGTCGGGACTGGGGCATGACACAGGGCTCAGGGCAAGCCGGGGCAAGGGGCAGGCTGCGCCCCGACATTTAGCAAGAGCTGGGAGCCCCTCGCCTGAGGGTCTGCAGGCAAAGAGGTTCCATGGGAGCTAAGCATCAGCTGCATACAGCTGTGCTGAAGACCCTCCTGCTGCCCCGCTGAGTCCCCTCCAGCCTTCCAAACCGGCTCCCCCTTCCCCGGGGCAACATCAGCTTTCCTGGAAAATAAGCAGAGATATTCCCCTCCGCACCACGTGAGAGTCACACATCTTAATCAGCTGTATCTTAATCAGTGCGTGTTGATGAGCCAGGCCCAGCGCTGCGTGGGAACGAGCAGCCGGAGCT